TTTTTTTTGAACTGTTTTTTAGTCCTTTGATAGTATAATCCGTGAAATCTTTACTTACTTACCGAAATATAAAATGAGTGCCAATTCCCAACTCGATTTGCTTCAAATTTGCTATAAATTTTCCGCCACAATTATATGTCATCTTATTGGCTGAAATCATTTTCTATTGTTTATTGATTATCCAATCAAAAGCGAGAATTCTGTTTGTAATTTGCACTGTGTTACACTTTTTTGCTACTTTTGAACAGCACTTCTCTAAGCCAATCAGAATTGAGTATTTTGTCATGTATGTTATTACGGATATAAAAACAAAACTACTCTTTGATTATGTGAAATGGGGAAAGCTCTACACGTAATTGAATTGAATTAATAATAACGGTATTCGTTGCCCTCAAAGATCATAACTGCTTATCCTTTTTTGCATTTTGTTTTTTGTCTATTTGATATTTTGTTTTGAATATTATATTTCAGTTGATAATGCGCTATTGTATTGTAAAGTATGAAATTCTTACTTTTAAAATAGTAACAATGAAAAGGATTCTTACATCGATCCCTAAAAACATTTTTGTCGAGGAAATGTTCAAAATGCATGGCGAAAATAACCCGGCTGACATTTTTATATAGTGATAACCAAGATGCATTATAGTAAATAGTTTGTACTTCGTTTTTTCATGCAGGCGTTCTGGGAAATGAAATCCCGTAAATTATAAATATCCACCAAACCAGTATTGAATCGTACTGTCGTCATTCGCGCTTCCTCGAGTCGCTGGGTTAAATTCAAGGCACGTTGTGCCAAAATTATTTTCATCGTTTACTGATCCACTGGTGGCATCATACTGGCAATGTCTCCCAGAACTGTCGGTGTGAAAAAATTGATCATGCATTTGCCAGAATGGCACTGTGATATCTTTTCCCTTGATGCCTCGGATGTCAATGTATTCTACAGTCTTACAGACTCCAGCCCCATCAAAACTCAAGATGTCTATACTTGAAATCTTTGCTCTCAAGTAGTCTCGATAATCGACACCATGAACAGGAAAACTTGACGTCACTCTGACATGTGTTGATTGGTCTGAAATGGATTTCATCCGATCAAAAGATAGACGATAGTTTTCCCAGTTTGGATTATTTAGCTGCCTTCTTTTGTCTCTGGTAAAAGAAGCCGTACAGAATACATTGTCCTGTCTGTTCTTGTGGGCATACGAGAGGATGAGAGTCCATGCAGATCCAGGCTCTGAGCTGAGGTCACACCAGACTGTAATTTCTCTACCATTATCGGTGCGTGTAATGGTGTAGATACCATCTTCAGTGGCTCCAATTCGAAGGTAATCAAGACAAGACTTGGCATCCTACAGGAAAACAACTTACAGTTAAGTGATGCTTTTTGATTATGACCCTTAGAATGCTGAACAAAACTATCTGAGCCTGTAAAGTTTGAGGTCTGTCTGCGTTGTCATAGTAACATACATTGTATATGGTAAACGAATCGAAAGCTTTACGAAGTTTCATTTATTAAATTGGTCACATATTTAACGCTTCCCATCGCCCCGAAAATTAGCAACTTGGCAAATATTGTACTCATAACCAGTGACGTTTTTAAATCTATTAAATTCACCTCTGTTTGTGCATCATAGTAGTGGATGTACAGAGCATCGTCCTGATAAGATCCTGCGTTGGATTTTCTGGTAGCGTTGTTCAGCTCACAGACATCCTTGTCACCAGCCCCTTTTGGTTTGTAGTTGTACGACAAGCACTGGGCATTGCTTGTACATAGAAAACTACAATCAACTGGCGACACCACGTGATGACTTGATATCACGTGACCCGATAGCACTTTACCTTAAATTACAGGAAATCATAAGATTAAAGAACACAAGATATACCTCGAGGCAGTCGCAGGGTTGATCAATCGCTAGACCCTCCGGTCATGTAGCTAAATTATGCTGGACGGTAAGCATTACAGTCAAACCAGGTAATGAACCGTACCCCCCTCCCCTCCCCAATTGTATTATTCATTCGATATTTACATAACTTTATCCATGGCAATTATCTGAGTACCTAAGCTATCATGGAAGGGGTAAGAACAACAGAGCTTGGCTACAAATTAAGTGCACCCTTATATGATCATTTGAACCATTATTTGTTTCAAGAATGCATTCCATTTGAAAATATTCAAACAAATATTCAAAACATCAGTCGAGTACTGATTGGATTAAAGAAACAAAGGAAATTCAACATATAGAAAACATACACAGGAAGCCCCGTGCCAAAAGCAACCGTTTTCCAAGATGGCTGCCTGAAACCAGAAAGGGTTTACGAGYCGGGAAACCTCTTGGCAACGCATTTACAGAGGATATCATCAATCACGTCGGGCTAGAAGGGCTAAAAAATGTTTCATTTAGGCAAAACTTTTTTGTATTTCATTAAAATTTCTTGAAACTTGGTAACATTAAAGAGTCTAACAAATCTCACAACTCTGTCGTTTTACTTTTTTAAATTTTGACATTTTTGGCGGGAAAATGACGTCATCAATTTTAACGGAAAATCGAAATACTCCTAAATGGAAAATTCTAACTAGCGCATTTGAAAGAACTGTACATGGGGAGTTTAAAAATGCAAAATTTGTTCATTTCTGATATGGGAACCAAGAAATATATATATACTATTTTTAGAAACAAAATGGCGGCTTCATGAGTCTTCAAAAAATCATATCTTTTGGAATTTGTTTCGAGCTTGGTATCACGTTCGGCCAATCAGAATGCAGTACGTAACGTGACCCGSTACAATTTACTTATTCAATAATTCTAGTGGCCTTCTAAGCCGTTTACGGACAAGSACAGTCTCAATATCATTAATCTTTGCTAAAGTAGAATGCTTTGTAGATTCTTTATTTGAATTTCCCTCGATAGAATATCTTTTTATTTTCAAAAATAGGTATGGCTAGATACTGTGAGACMCTAAAACTGATAGAATGGAAAATATTCTATTCGAAGGAGGTGAAAATATGTTGACCTGCAGAGTAACAGATAACCCTAGACTGATGATATGAAGTGTCACGTACCCTTATTTCCTCGACTGAACTACTACAGTAGAAATATATAATGCAATTCATTTTTAGTTTTGAAAACTGTGTAGCGACGAAGCCATCTTCATTGAGCCATCGCATATTCCGTCATCCACAAATGCATGAGATATCAATAAGAATAATGCATGCTTAAAAAGATCCACTATTCAAAGGATGTAGGTACATGTAGTGGTCATCAGAGTTACTAAAGGTAAAATCCATAAGATTTTGAAGGTAAAATTAATTGCACTTACGCGCGAAAACCTGATACAAGGTTTTCCCTAGGACTTGTTGACTCACTGAACTTCTCGCTGCTTCTCTTTAAAAAATTAATCAACTCAAAAATTATTTCATTCCTGAAGTGTGAAGGCCTTTAAAACATCCTCTAGCCACAAATATGAGGCCTTTTGGAAGCTTAAAAAATMGGGAAAATTGGTCATAAATACTAGTGAATTCTAGAGAGAATGAGGAGGTATCCCGCAAAACCAACTTGCTCGTTTGACGACACAGCCCAGCCCCCTAGGTTATCATTTCACCCGGCCAGAGGTGAAAGAAATGCCGATTTTAGCATGTTTGACCGCTCGAAAAATAAATWAAAAAATTATTTAAAAAAATTAGAAAGACGCGTCAGAATCAAAAATTATTTAGATACGTTTCTTAGAATAGCTTATATTTTGATATAAAACTACAAAAATAAAGGTCATAGACAAAAAATGAAAAGCAAAAGGTGAGATTAGCGGCCTTACTAGAACTTGTGCCTTAACAACACAAATATAAATTCATTTTGTAAAGTTATACTAGCTGGAAAAGCTAAATATATGGCGAAAATTTGGTAAAAAAACCTATTTCTTTTTAGATCTCGTTCAACAACAAAATACCTTTTTTCGCGAAAAAATATTGAAATTTTTGAAAGAAAGCATTTTTTTTGTTTGTCGATAGGACCCGATATGAGGAGAATAAAAAATGCTGCTTTTTATTTCTAGATAAAATATAAGATTACTTGATAAAAACTTGAAGTTTTGAAGGAATTCCTTGAAGTCTTGCGCATATTTTGTGTAAAATGACTTCTTTTTTATTGAATTCAACATTAAAATAAATTATCCATRAAATTATTAAAAGTATTAATAGAAATTCTTACGGATTTGTCGATTGGAGGCAATGCGTATTTGTGTCCGCGTATTTGCAATTCCGAGTTGAAAGCTAAAATAGCGCGACCAGAAAACAACACCTTAAAATGTTCATCGAATAGTTTTTGAGACATCGGTCCCAAGACTGAGAAAAAGCTATTCCTCCRAACTATGAAATGTAAGCGTATCAGTACGAGGAAGATTTTTACGTTATTTCAAAGTAGTTGCATTTAGTCGCTCTAAGCCAAAGTAGGTGAAATTTTTTTTCACCGCAAAATCGGTATTTGCGATTTACTCAAAATCGAACAAAAAAAATTTTTTTTTGATTCTTTCATAAATTTTTTTGCCGAATGTCGTAGTTTATCATGTTGGTATCCGCCGACACTGATGAAAAACGCACTGCGCATGCGTTGGGAGAAAAACAAAATGGCGGACAATAACAATTGATCACATCTAAAGGTAGGTTTTATTTTAACCGACAGGGCTATTTTTTAAATATTCGTTTTGGAATTTTACAGATATTTTTGAATTTCTTTACATAGAATCCGACCATGTGATTATCTGCAAATTAGCCATGCTGGATGTCGACGTCGGGCCGCGAGTGACGGCATTTTCAAAGATTATTTTTGCTTTGTATAAGCAAAAGTTTTTTTGTATAAATCAGCAGTGTATCACTATCGAAATTATCTTGCTATTGCGAAAAGGACAACCTTAAGTTTTCAGCAYTTTTCTTAAGTTTTGCGATTTTGTAAAACAATCAAAACACCGGCATCAAAAACATAAGTTGCCATTAGCTACGCTGTCACGGGGATTTGTGTTCCCCCGAGTTATGTGTTCCCCCGAACACTGGGCACTAGTGTTTTGTGTTCCCCCCTCCCCTCCCTATGAAACATCATTTGACACGATTCTCTCCCCCAGGTCAAGGACATGTTTTAAGAGAACTATTACTCTGAAAACGAAAAATAAATGGATTATCTCTATCGTACATCTTTATCGTACATTTTATAACCGCGTGATCCTCTACTGTCGTTGGTATATTAGGAGATAAAATTTTATTTACCGAATTTAATAAATCAAGCGAGTTCTTTTCTTGGTCTCGTGGCAAAATACATGAAAATACCGATATGCAAACTTTTTGCTGTATTATCTAGCCCTATTACCTTCTCCGTAAAACATATTTTTCTTTATTTACAAAATCAGAAGGATATTCCTTTCAGGATAAATAGTTAAAAACATTATCATACTGTGAAGCTTCCATGATTTTTTGAATTCGTTCGTTGAATTTAGATTTAAAGAAAATTCTAAGATTTAGCCGGTCTGTAAACCGAAAACCAATCATTTATAGAGCATCCTTGACCTGGGGGAGAGAATCGTGTCAAAAGATGTTTCATAGGGAGGGGAGGGGGAACACAAAACACTAGTGCCCAGTGTTCGGGGGAACACATAACTCGGGGAACACAAATCCCTGTGACAACGCTATGCCATCTCCGAGCGTGCGCAGTGCGTTTTTCACCAGTGTCGGTATCCGCCTATATCAGTATCTCATCGGGATCTCATCGGGATCTCATCGGGACCTCATCGGGATCTCATCGGGATCTCATCAGGACCTCATCGGGACCTCATCGGGATCTCATCAGGACCTCATCGGGATCTCGTCGGGATCTCGTCGGGATCTCATCGGGATCTCATCGGGATCTCATCGGGATCGCGTACATTTCAAGATTTTAATGTATTTTGTTGATCGTTGAGATGAAAACATCAATTCCACTGCATTGTACCTCGTCATCGACTTAAATTTAACACATATCTGGTGTGAATTTTAAATCAATCCAACTAAAGTTTGTTGAAGAGCAAATTAAAAAAGTTTGATGTCGCTATAGAAAAACAGGATAGAAACACGTTAAATACAGTGCATGGCTATTAAGGCGAAAAATAAGAATTTTAACAAAAATATTKGATTTTTCTTACGTTAAAAATCACATTTTTTTAAAGATCCCAAAAATTTTTCTTGCCTTTGCTCAGAATGTCCCCACAAGTTGACTTTCCTTATTAATGCTTTTTACAAAATCTAAATTCCATTTATCTTCAACAAGAATATGTAAAGAGGAAATGTGAAGCTAAATCACTTCAAATAATATTAAAAGGATTCTCCGTAGCAAGTTATTCCCAAGRGAGCCCTTCAGTCAATATAATTATTGATAAATATTTACAGAAAGCAGCATATGGTTGCGAATATAAAATATTTTAAACATATCAAAATTAAAGCAGTGAACTTGATACTACAATAGGCATTTAGCAAAACGTGAGTAAAAGAAAATTCCAAAGGTTTACAAGCTATTATCTTGAAACTAACAAAACATCTTGAATTTCAAAAAACGGGATAATATATATTGACTTGATTAAGATCAGCATTCTTGAAGGCTAAGCTATTAACTCGAGATTCTTACCTTTCTCAGGGTGAAATTTAGCTAATCTGCGGCTTTCTTCTCTGATGGTGGCCAAGGCAAACGAGTTAAGAAGGAAATAAGATGTGACGAAAAGGAACATCGACTTCWTTTCTGGCCCTTTAACCTGATGATGTTTCAAGAGGAGATAAAGTAAGACCTTTTAGCTTCTTGTTTTTCATGAACGAAAGCTGCCTTTGTTGTTTGGCTTCACACGGCTGGTTGTGGACTTCATGGCAACTACATAGATTTATTATTAAAGCTGTCTATTGATGTAGACCCATTTGTTATTTACTTTCTCTTCCTTTGTTTATTCCTTTCTTTCGTTGTCATGTCATGTTTAATCTCAAAAGAAAGCCGTTTTTAGCACTATTATTTTACAACTGAATCGTATTATCAATTATTAACGAAGTAAAGTTATACGAATACGTAAACATTCTTTCTTTCTTTTGCCTTCCATTGTTGAATTGATCCACAGATTAAGGGAATAAAATTTGTTAAAATAAGCGTAAGTAGAGTAGCGTCCAAAATACATAACTATTTATTAAACGAGTTTTGAGTTACCCATCTAGTCCATTTTGGTTGAGCACGAGCCGTCAGTATCGAGTTTCTGTTGATTCCTTTGAGAGGTTCATTCATGAAGACTTGTTATTTCCGAAGTATTTATTTTGAGAATATCTAATATGAACGCTTAGAAACGTTATTTATTTATTCATATCTGAACTTTCCCCAACATTGGCATTCTGACAATCCCTTTCTATACTGGGCGAACAAAAACTGTATCAATACGGGTTTTCTTGAGTTTGACCCCTTTTCACTCACTACTAAATATGATAATTATTCATACAACTTTGATTTACTTGTGATGATTTACGGAGGAAGGAAAACCGTAGAAACTAGAGGTAAAAGTGGGAGTTAGCAACACCACAGGGGGCCCAAGTTTGCGACCAGGTGCCGGAGGGGGCGTCTCTAAGCAAATGGCTGCAACAGCGTAGTTTCCATTCGTGACGACACGTTCCAGCTGATCTCTTATTTTCAAAATGGTGGCGAGTTTGGAGACGCATAGTTGACGACTAAAAAGGTCAAAATATTCTTATATCGGCGACTTTCGGTCTTGATTTAGCAATCAACACAAATTTTAGTTATTGCAGAATATGTTTTTACGAGTTATTCTTTGAATACCTTGGAAAAAGGGTATAGTTTTAGGAGCTGGAASTTGAAAAGATAGCGKWATGCCGCGTAAAGTTTTGAATGGATGTCGAGCCTCAATGTCGAATTTTAAGAAGAAGAACATCAAGAATTAACCCCAAAATAAAAGGTTTAATAAAGACGACATCAAGCATTATGCATGCCATGCTTACACAGTTTGKCCATTTTCCTTTCATATACTAAGTAAAAATCTTCCCTCGGAAAAGTGTGCGTTTTCGACCATTTTGCAATGTTTCTTTTCAAAATGAATCCAAACCAAGTATGGTGATCCCCATTTTTATTTCACATATTAAATATCCACCTACGAAATATGAATAATGACATTTCTCGAGCGTATATATTATATATTAATGGTGCAAATAGATGAAGAGTTCGATTTCAGGACGACTCTCAAGAGYACACGTAGTTACATATTTAAACAAAAAGGCTACAGGCATTTGTACAATATTACTTGAATGTGATGAAATGCTTAGCTTAGTTCGTGTAACTGATTACTTTGCGTAGTCTGCTTAAAGAATGTGATTTTGCAAGGAATGGTGTTATTTTTATGTTCGCCTTCCGGTTACAGCGATATCTGTCATGCGGTATTTTGTCATATTTTGAGGTCATGTAACACGAAAACGAGAATGGTGACCCTCCACTTTTATTGCATATYTGAAGCATCCATGGTGCAATGAACGACCTTGCAAATGTTGGGGGAAATGACATTTCTTGTATTTCAAGGGAATCACCTCAATGGAGTTTATGAATATCCACCAAACCAGTATTGAATCGTACTGTCGTCATTCGCGCTTCCTCGAGTCGCTGGGTTAAATGCAGCACAAGTGAAACCAAAATTGTCTTCACTGTAAACTGATCCACTGGTAGCATCATATTTACAGAGTTTCCAATGACTGTCGGCGTGAAATAATGAATGAGGTCCACCGATATCCTGCCAGAATGGCACTGTGATATCTTTTCCCTTGATTCCTCGGATGTCAATGTATTCTACAGTCTTACAGACCCCAGCCCCAGTAAAACTCAAGATGTCTATACTAGAAATCTTGGCTCTCAAGTAGTCTCGATAATCTACRCCATGAACAGGAAAACTTGACGTCGCTCTGACATGTGTTGATAGGTCTGAAATGTCTTTCATCTGACCAAAACCTAGACGATAGTTTTCCCAGTTTGGATTACTAATCTGCCTTMCTGTGTCTATGGTAAGGGACGAGGAACAGAATCCGTCGTCGTCTCTGTTCTTKTGGGCATACGAGAGGATGAGAGTCMATGCAGAACCAGGCTCTGAGCTGAGATCACACCAGAYWTTATATTRATTGYCATTAGTGGARCGYGTAATGGTGTAGACACCGTCTTCGGTGGCTCCMATTCGAAGGTAATCAAGACACGTTTTGGCATCCTGGAAGATAACACATTAAAAGCCTAATTTAATCATTATTTGCTGTYAGTGTAGTATGTGTGGCACATATTGTACTGCAAATTGAAATAAACGCTTTCGGGTTGGAATATGTTAAATCATTGGAGCTAAGACAAAGGGGTATTCTGGGTATTCAATATCTTGGGCATTGTGGATTTTTCRATGAGGACACATGCATGAAGAGTTTGTTCGGTAACCTAAATCAATGTTGTAGAGCTGCAAAACTACAAGAAGCATAATGGTTTTATTAATTGTATTCCCAGAATACCCTTCGGTCTCAACTTCGATGTTTTAACCTTTTCAACCCTACACCTCTTTTTCAATTTGGTTTAGTTATAGTTAATTTGAAATCAGCCTGTGATGTGTCTAAAGTAAGAGTATTACAACCTTGCAAAGAACTTGAATAGTACAGAAGGTACAGAGTAGAAAGAGGTTTTGAATCAGTGTTGTGTCCACTAAACAGTCCCAAGATGCACTGCAATGCCAACGGAATGGCTAATAGTAAGCAATGGATGAGTTTCCAGTAATTTGATCCTGCGTTTCGCGCAATGCATCTATGGATTGCCAGGGGGGAAACAAACCAAGTCGTCACAAGAGATGTATGGGGACGAATCATATTTACCACTAAAATCCGTGATTTGGTGGTGGCGGAATACCAGTGGCGGATCCAGCGGGGGTTCGAAGGGTTCCACGGAACCCCCCTTGAAGGTTTGATCTTTTAGGTAATAGAAATATGTCTTATATAAGTTTTGCTTAAAAGTATCCACTAGGATGATGTTGATTACGAATTGATAAATATTTGCTGTTTTAATGTGAATAACTTTGACTTTCCTAACATTTTCTTCTAGGTAAAGTGTAACTGTTCAAAAACTTTTGGATACTTGAATTAAACTTCCAAATAATATCTTTATTTCCCTAAGTCTTTTATCATTTACAATTTCGTCCAGCCACAAAGCAATAGCACGATAAAAACAACTTTCATCTCTCCGAACAACCATTTCTGACCGTTTGCGATCGTAACATTATTGCGGCCATAAAAATACAAATCGATACTTAAACTTGTAAAAGAAACACTTTTAAGTGTTAAAACACACACTGATGTATCAATAATAATATTTCATTGAGTAATTCCGTTAATATCTGCACAAACATCTTGGTATTTTGAGTCAATCTTTCACAATCTAGCTTACGCGAGAAAATCGAGTTTTCCGACTGTAATATCACGCTATTCAAACAAAAAACTCACGTATTCGATGAATACGCATTCCTTGACTTCATATCCGATAAAATTAGAGAGATAAAGTGCAGTATTCACCACCAAATCACGGATTTTAGTGGAAAATATGATTCGTCCCCATACATCTCTTGTGACAACTTGCCTGGTTTGTTTGCCCCCTGGCAATCCATAGATGCATTGCGCGAAACGCAGGATCAAATTACTGGAAACTCTTCCATTATTGGAGTAGGTTGAGCAAAATATTGTGAATTGTTAATGGTGAGTGAGCATTATTTGCAGTCGATGCCGAAGGAAGTGTCCCATTGGAAAAAATTGCCCATACATTTGGAATATTTGCTC